TTACAATCTCGAATCGTAATTAGCCTGTTTGCAGCCCAACACTTCGATGAAACAAATTCAAATTTGCGAGCAGACTAATTTGTAGCATCAATTAAGAGAGCATGACTATTAAAAGCGAGGGACTATATTTCGCGAAATGTCCACCCCCCGGTAGTGCATGATTATATAGAGGATATTAGACGGTTGCGAGGAGATATGGATTTTACGTCACTTATTCATGTAAATAAGACATGTAAATAAGCACGCGAAAGACCAGTATAAAAGCGATATTTTTTAAAATTAAAGTGTAAACATAAAACCAGAATTAATTTTACTTATCTCAAGATGTCTTTTAAATGCTTTCGTTTTATTTCCAACGTTAATTTCGTTTTATATACGAACCAAAGACCACTTGTATTTTCAAAACAACAACAATGAAATTGGCGGGAAATTTTCGAACTTCGTAAGGCACTCGCAGGGATGAAATATGGAAAATACGCGCATCTGGATGGCAACCCGGATGTATAGCGACGTATGAGCTCTACGAGCGTTTTAGTTTCCAGTAAAACACCATTGTCCATATAATAAATGAGCTCTACGAGCGTTTTAGTTTCCAGTAAAACACCATTGTCCATATAATAAAATAAATTATTTAACCGCTTTCTCACTTTCGAGATGTTAAACATTCGAAATAATTATATGTCTAAGAATCCATGTATTATCTTTGTTCATTTTACAGCAGTTCACTAAATTATCTGGAAGGTCATGTTGCACTATTTGCCCTTCATCAACAACAAGCATATCTTCATTATGTTAAATTGGATTTTCATTAATAAACAATTAAATCTCAATAGGAACGATGCAAAACTCACAACGTACAATATTCATTTCAATACCAACACAATAACACATGTTTAAATATGCAAGAACAGACAATATCAATAAACATAGGTCCGCTGTGGCGGACATGCATCTACTGAATAGAATAGTAGCACTGGGAAATAAAAGGCATTGAACAGATAAAAGCATAGATGTGCACTCTAGCTGACCATTGGAATCGATTTCTGGGATTTCCAGAGTCATAACACAAGCACAACGTGCACACGTCGCATTGTTGATGGGATTGCTAGTGTATTGTTAGCTCACAGTCGGACTATAAATCGGAAATTTTTATATACCGTGATAAAACTAAAAGATACAAATTTGAAGAAACAATCTCGAAAATATAAACACTCCACACAGTAGTTATTGATAATGATTCGAACAAGAATATTGCAATGAAGATACGGGGTCGAAGTTATATCTTTGTTCAGACATTGCGTAATTTGATAATATACGATCTCGCTTGACTTTCAAAGGCCATGTTGATAATGACTCTTAAACTATTGTGAGGAATTAGTTGATATTGTTTTCAATGAATCGAATGAACTAATGAAGCATGCACTGAACTAACCTAGCACTGAACCGAAGATATGAACATACAAAGTCGTCGAAAAAGAGTTCAGACAATTGTGTAATTTGATAACATGCGATCTCGCTTGACTTTAAAGGCTACAATCGCTACAATGTTGATAATGACTAAAACTATTGTGCACTGAACCGAAGATATGAACATACAAAGTCGTCATCCTCTCGCGCAGTTATACGGCATTCTTCGTATTGAACTTCGCTCGTGTTATTGACAAAACCGTTTATTGAGTACTCGTGTTATTTACAAAACCATTTATGGACAACAGCGGAACTAACCGTAGATAACCGACTTTAGCTCGCAATTTCTATGCTCGCAATGCATTACATCGATACGTCACAAATATGTCATCACCTGTCTGTTTGCGACATCCACGGACGTACGTCCATAGGTAGCCCAACAATCAGTGTTATTAATTCATTTACTTAGTCCCCGACTGCCTTGTTTACGCGCGGTCAGATCATGTACGTATCCCTATCTGGATAGTAATATATGCTAAGGTTGGCAGCTAAATTCCTATATACGCACGTAGCCCTGGAGAAATAGCACAAAAACTTTAAAAACACGCAATAAAACACAAACTAAACAACATTAAAGTAAGCTCAGATACTTTCACTAAACTGCCAGTCAATTTTTTGTCGAAAACAACATCGAAAATAACGAAAAATAAGCACAGTTTTTTTATCAATTTTGTTGAATTTTCGCTGTGACTATGCGGGATGCAAGTTACCTGATACTGGTATTTTTTTTGAATGACGACTGCGAGATTTCATTGGCTTTGAACATTTACGTCAATCACAGGAAAATCCATTTCAGGGGGGGTTGTTGAGTGTTTTTCATACACGGAGCTATAAAAAGCAAGGAGAAATATTTTGAAAACAGGATTGCCGGGCGAAGAAAGACAAGAAAATTACATCTGCGATAATATTAAAAGTTTGCAATTATA